TTTAGGGTTTAGGGAGGGGTTTTAGGGCTTTAGGGGTTTAGGGCTTACGGGCTTAATTACGGGTTTGGAGTTTAGGGTTTAGGTGTCGAAGTCTCTAGACTAGGGTTGCTCTGTCGGGCGAAGACTGAGGCAGCAAGCTTTCCGGCACACCCGGCAACCCAATCGGCTCCAAGAGCCACCCAAGAAGCTCGATCGAAATCTCAGGGACCCCTATAAACCAGTGCGTTACAGGTAGCATTTCGGGCTTTGGGCGTGTGCTTTCGGGATGGGTTGCCACTTGGGATTTGGATTTTGGGCATTAGGAGTTTGGCCGTGGGGCGCAGGGTTTGGGCAGTATGAGCATGATTTACATGTACCTAGAGCCCCCAACTACCTCTAATATACCCTAAATACCCACTATTAAGGACCATAAGGGCTCTATTAAAGGGCCATTGGGGGGTCTTGGTAATTTCAGATCTCGTATTTAGGGTTGAAGGTTCAGAGGTTAGCATTTAGGACTTGGGCTTGGAGCTGACATGCTGCATTGTTGAATGGGTGTTTCGGGGTTTCACTTTAGGAGTCAGGATTTACCTGTGGATCCAAAACCCTACAGTTTTAAGGGTTGGACCCTCCAATTAAGGGGTCATAACCTACTATTTTGTAGGGTTTGGGGATACAGGTAGGGTTCAGGCTTTAGGGTCTCGTCTAAGCCCAGAGCGGCGGCAGCCGGAGATCGAAGCCGCCCAACGGTTGCAGCAGCGCTTTGATTTTTATCAGCCTTCTGACAAACGGCCTGGCCATTTGAAGGGACAGAAACAACATGGATACTTCCACGCCTGGACGGGGGCAAGACCAAGCCAACAAAAATGGAGGAACGATGCGGAGCGCAAACATCAGCAACGCAACAAAGCGCGAGGCATGAAGAAGACCCGGCTGTTGCAAAAGACTCCCAAAGCATTCCGCCATGTCATCAAGCCAGGCAAGATGTTGAGGCATTGCTTTTGCCCGGCCTTCGGAAATCGCGTGGCTTCAACGGTACGGCATGGTCGCGTCAATCGGCCACATGGGGAGTGCTCGGCAACATTTTCTCTTCAGCCTCTTCAGCAGGACTTGTAAGCATGTAAACCACCCGGAAACGGAAAGTCACCCGAGCACGCCCACAGCACTGTTCTGTTTGGCACGTTGATACGGTTGATGATAAAATATCAATCCTGCATTACCTTAAGGACCCTAAACTATGGGAATTATGGTATATTCCTTCTTATGGGTAACCCTAACACCTGAACCCTATATTCCTTATTTTGGGTATTGCAGGATTTATTTCATCCACCGTCTCACAGGCTAGACCTCAAATCCGTAGCTTTCCTAAATCCCACAGAAACCTCCTACAGAACCTCAATCCGTGAAGGCGAAGCACCTACATGTTTACAATCGAATTTATGTGTGTATATATATATATATATTGTATATACGTATATGTGTGTGTGTATATATATATATATATATGATCCCGGTTCGGCCGGCCCCCCCCCCCCTCCCCCCCCCAAT